CATATCAAATTTCGAGTCTGTATAATTCTTCACCGGATTCATTCAAATCGTTATCTTTATGGTCTCTCAAATATCAGCTGCGCAAACTTCTATTATATCAACAAATTTAGACTTCTCATTCTGATTAGGTATAAGTGTCTGTTAGTTACTTCATCACTATTTTTGTTGTCAGACTTTTTTCTTCGTTTCCAATTCTTTTTTTTTATTAGTGTCGTTGCTAAACACTTAACATAATTTGAACCTTCATTTTTCTCACACTAATGAAACAAAGTGTAGTATAGCTATGCTGTTAATTAGGTATTGTATAAAAGATATTAGGATTATTGAGTCGATTGGATAGTATGAATGAAAGTACTTTTTTTTTTGTTGTTGTATTTTTTTTTGTATCACGGTTAGGTTGAAAAACAGAGGGTGTGATTCACATCATGCTCACCTGACACCTCGCCTATTCTTCACATATTATATTATTGTTTCATTCAGGGTTATAGTGATTGTATTCACTCTATGTATTGGTTGTATCGAAGAATAAAGACACATCAGTATTATTATTATATTATATGCGAGTAGAATACTATACTTTGTCACGACTACTATTGTTTTTTATTTATAAATTTATTTTCAACAACAGTTTCACCATATCTCAATCGACATCAAAAAAACTAAATATTGAAGATATCTGTTATAATAATTATTTGTCCACGATTGCTGTACTTCCTCAAGCAAAACGATAGCAATTTTTCACACCAGTGAATGATGGCGGTGAATAACCATCATTCACTGGTCTTATATGTTCCTTATATGTTATATCGCGTACCCTAGGAACTCTAGACCAGTGAATTATGAATTATTCACTGCTATTATTCACTGGCTACCGTTTCGCTTGAGAAAGTACTTACAGGGTGGGGCATTAGTGAGTCGGAGCTCGATTGCACGAGTTCTATGATAGCTCGAATCTTGATCCAAACACGAATGTCAATGAGACAACAAGGTCCGTAACTAGAAACTATTGCATCGGAAAAAATCTAGAGGGTCAGGATCACTTTTTCAAGAAGCATTCTTGTGACCTCCATCTACTCTTACAATATTGTTGACTTTTTCTCGATATTTAATAGTTATTAGTTCTTTGTCGAAATAATGGCATCTGCAGATCCATACCGAAAAAATCATTGTAATCACAATTATGATGTTTAAGATATATTAATCATAATGTATGATATCATTTGTTGGGAATATGCGAGATATTTCTGTAAAATTGTTATGCCCTCAAATTGAACAGGGTGGCTAAAAATGTTTCTTTCAATTCGGACCTTTTGAAAGTGATTTTTCTCGGGTTCTTCAAATGAAACACCCCATATATTTTTTGGTGTAAAATCTAAACACGAACATATTTTATCTCAACATCCATATAGATATTCGTAACCATTTTTGAATTATTGAACTTCGAAAATTATAGGTCGGCCATTTTCATCAATACACATTCTCATCTGTTATTAAAACATCAAAAGTCAGATTATTTAATTGGTAGACTTGTTTTTTCATTGGAACAATCGATACCAGAATCAAAGCAAATATAAATGGTTCATATGCTAGTTATTCACAAAGTGAAAAAAAAAACAAAATTTATATCTTGCATAATTGTAAATTACTATCCTGGTTTTTTTTACTGATGTTTGCTTCGATTCCGGTTTGAATACTATCAATAAAAAAACCGGTTTACTGATTCATTGATAGGACTCATTTAGATGTTTTAATAACAGATAAGAATGTGTATAGATGAAAATTGCCAACCTGGAATTTTCAAAGTTGAATATTTTAAAAATGGTTATGAATATCAATATAAATGTTGGGATGAAGGATGTTCGTGTTTCAATTCCACACTAAATGGCCTGAAAGTATATGGGGTGTTACATTTGAAAAACTCGAGAAAAATTATTTCCAAATTCATGAATTGAAACAACATTTTCAGGCACCCTGTAGGATTTGGAGGCATGTAAATTTTACAGAAATATCATGCATCTTTTCATAAAATGATATTATAACTATCATTTCTCAAACTTAATAATTGTGATTACAGTGAATTTTCCGGTATGGACCTGCAGATGACATCATTTCGACAAAAAAATCAATAACTTTTTGATGATCGAGAGATAGTCAACAATATCATAAGAGTGAATGGAGGTCACAGGAATGCTTCAAAACATGTGCTAATATATAGGGCATTCCGTTTGAAAAAGTGATCCTGACCCTCTAGATTTTTTCCGATGTGGCAATAATTTCTAGTTACGGACCATGTTGTCTCATTGACATTCGTTTTTGGATCACCTTTCTAGCTATCATAGAACCCGAGCAATCGAGCTCTTAGGCACTTATGCCTCACCCTGTATATTATGAATATTTTATACAACAGTCGTGGATGAATATTATTATTTGAAACCATAACAGTGGCGTTACACGAAGGGAACATAAAGCTCATTTTTTAGTTATATCAATATTTCATCATTGGATTCATTTCTATGAAATGGCTATTGGAATTCGAAGCTTTGACGAACACTCGAGATGTCTTTTCGTCTTTGGGCAACTCAAATATGAATGGTAACCATTATTCTTAGAATTTGTGCAATTCGTTACCAAACAAGACATATTCGAAAACATTTTCGCGGGGACGCTCATTCAATTTCAGAACTGACGTTTTAAATCTGAGGATAATGACAATTCTGAAACATCAGTATTGACAAGCGTGTCCACACTCTTTAAAGATGTTCTAAATATGCGAGATAATTCTGTCACTCATTCTTTGTTCACGAAATTGTGTTGCCGTGCGGACAGAGTGTCTATGTTCTAATCCGCATTCGCTTGCCGGTCGTGGGTTCGATTCCCGTCGACTGCAGACATTTTTCTGATGGCCCAAGAAAGTGTTTGGGATCATACGTTGAAAGGTAAGGCCCCCGTCATTCCTTGCTTGCACAAGACTCTCGAAGACTTCTGAGGGTTGCTCGTAAGGGGGCAACCGAATGACGGATAGAACAATTTCAGAACAACAACATCATATTAACAGGAGAAAAAACGAAGTCAAAGTCGGTCGACCACAATAATATTATTGTAGTCGACCGATTCTGAGTTCGTTTTGAGAAAGGATGGTTTCCATGACTTAACATCATATTAGTCCGTCAGGACGACTGGTAGTATTGCTGTACGGCAACACAATTGTGTAATCAATGAGAGACAGAATCATGAAAATATATTCAGAACAGAGTGGTATTTTGCTAGACTATTCACGTCCACGAAGCATCGAAAGCATTTATTATAAATGAGTGATCCATTCTGACAAGAACAGTCATAATTATTTTATGCCAAACTGACTTTGCTCCGCTATCCATGGTAACATCGTTGAAAACATCAACGCTGATAGACCAATCAGAATTGAAAGGCAGCTAATGTTTTCGCGATAAGCTCACGTTGTCTCTGGCTTTTGATGGGTCAGATTATGTGATGAGTGGAATAGTCTTCGATATACTCTTATTAGTTGTTGGAAAATATGAGAGATATCCCAGCAAACATTTCGATATGGGGCATGAATGGCCTAATATATTTTCCCCATCCCTGACATCAGCGGCCCAGTAAATGGTCCCATATGCGGGACTCTAAATATCAGTACACTGCGGCCGGCAGCTGGTCCCAGTGCTGGGTACCCAGCAATCATATTCAGTTCCCTGGCAAAAGGCCAGTACAACATAATCAACACATTGAGTTTTCCATAGCAAGCCCAGCATATATGTATATAAATAATGGGACTGTAATGGCCAATCAACGACATTGGTTACATACTATCGAGGTAGGGAAGGGGTAGAGGTTTTATGGGTCCAATGGATCTGGAAGTTCTAGTACCTCTTAATTTCACAATATAACCCTCTCAACATGAATCAGACTCATACCAGATCTCAAGAAAACAATTCCATGAATCACACAATGTATATCTTCTTAACCTCTCTGTTCTTCAACGATAAAACTTCCCGGAGTGACTGCTTACTGGTTGGTATGTGGTATCTACATCTCATTGGGTAGCATTCCTTCAAAGTTGATTCTTCGTTGTGAGGTACTTCTGAAATATAAAATGTAGCATTTGTTTTATATCAGTGGCCTATGAGTTGCATGAGTTTATAACTTGATAATATATTCTGATGACGTGATAACATGGAGCTTTTCATTCCTCATTATTTTCTTGGCACAGGTATTTCTGTAGCTGAAACCTTATTGTTATTCAGTTCTTTAATATAGAGATAGGTTCACATACCCTGAGATTGCTTTTGATAGCAACAAACGAGTTGAAAATGATAGTCGCTTTTGGAGAAGTATAGCCAACTCCAATTATTATGATCATTAGGTATATGAGGTTACGAGATACCAAAAACATGCATTCAATAATGAAATTCGAAACACTATGTAGATACATGAATTCAATAATGAAATTCGAAACACTATGTAGATAGATTGATACTAACCATCATAAAACCAGGGAAAGAGAGGACCACATTAATTCGACATAAACAAACTAGTACGCGATCACCACTCACGAGAGTCAGCTATCTTAGTCACATATAATATTGATCAGCTGATTGTTGATGTAGACGTTCCCAGAACATCTACCAGGGGGACGAGTAGCGAACATGATATTGGCCAGCAAAGGACCAGCTTTCGTTAGTATTCAATTAGTTATAGACATCTCAGCATCACAAGACCATCATCGTATATTTAACTGATGGTTACTTGGCATAGGAAAATCATCGGCCCATTACCAATACCCCGGCATCGCCACTTCCCAGACTAGCCTTCACTAGGCCGGACTCTTCCCGCTATTTCAATGTTTGCTGGGATAGAACTTGTTGGTTTATCACGTCATCAATAGCTAGTGTATAAACATACATAATAATACTCCTTTATGCGTATATTATTTTCCATTTACTTGACTCCTCTTCCTATCCACCCCAAATAAACAAATTTGTAGGATTGCATAAAAAATAAGTTTTAATTATCATCATCCGGTTTACACTTTTGTTTCAATGGAACATCATATTTGGTGATTACAATACTGATCAACAATTTCAATCAACCTTTTCAAATACTCGTCACGATTTTCAATCTTCCTATCACAGAACATCTGGGTGAAATCTTTAATATCATCCAAATTTGGCGTTTCTTCTTCTGTGACGAAAGAGATTTCAAGAAAAGCTGTTATGAAAGCAAATCCGTAGAAGGAGTATTTTCTCCAATCTTCTATTAAAGATGTGAAAGGGTATATCGTTCTCAAATCTGTCCCCATTTCTTTCGCGTGATTTGTAAGTCTTGAATGGTAAAATTTCAACAAATCTGGAAGTTTGTAAAGATTTTCTCCGGCCACCGCATAAAGAAAATAGGACACGTCCATGACTGGTGAATGTTGAATTGAAATTTGCCAATCCAAAATGGCCACTTTGGTTGGGTTACGTTCATCGTCCTCCTGAAATAAAATTTCACACTGAAAGCGAGCATTCAATATAAGAACAGAAGGTGTTGCTCAAACATTGATGAAAAACCTGTGGGGTGATTCCAGAGGACTCTTCATGAAGAATATAGTTTCGATAAAATATTCATCGAAGAATGCTTCCTTTTCATGCAGGGCACCCTGAACTGGAGACGTTGTTCCCTCAATATTCTCAAAACCGTTCATCCAAAAATGTCTTCGTCAAGACTGTCTGAAATGTCAATGACCAGGGGCGTATCAATGAGCCTAAATAACGGTTTGGTAAGTGGTAACACAGTGTACTGTGTCTTCGATATAAATAACGTAATTAAAATTGATAGGGCTAGTAATTTTCGGAAAAATTGCAACTCTGCACATCAATGCATCGGTCCTGAAGACAGGTATTTCTCAATATTTTGGAAACTGCTCACACTGGAATATTGGAATTTGGTAGACTGCTAAGACTTTTGACGCCAAATGAGATCCTCAGCTAAAAATTTCAAATTTTTCATCAGGGGGAATAATACTGTAGTGGTTAGGAGTAAAAACGACTCCATTTTTTTGTGACGATTTATTTTTGGCATTTTTTTCTATGATTATCTTATGAATTTTGACGTGGAGGAGATACTCTCAGTCTAGTTATAGTATTTATTGTTCTCAGAAAGATTGCAACGTTTCAGAAAGATACAAAGTATCATTCCTCTTAATCGCTATCAATGAATGGGCTAGTTTTTACCACTACCACTTCAGTATGATACACCTCTGAATATATTTCGAAATGTATAGTTCATGATTCAACTTGTTGTTGATAGTTTATGAAGTGTACAAAATTCCAATTATTCAATTGTGAGCGCTGTCAAAAATAGGGTACCGATGCATCGATGTAAAAAATTGAGATTTTCTTGAAAACTAATATTCCTATCGATTTTTGATTTTACTTTCTTTATGTTGAAAAATATTCAGAAATTAGAATGCGAGAGAACACCATCACGAAATGAGAGTGTTTTTACTCTTAACCCTTCAAATTTTAAAATTATGAGCACAAATTCTGATTCAACATGAAAGTTCATGCGATGCACCAAATATCATGAATTTTGAACGAACGGTTTGAAAATATTGCAAAAGGCAACGTCTTTAGGGTGTTCTATCTGAGATGGCTTAACCTCCTCAGGAAGCATTTCTTGACACACATTTATAGACACTTTTTTTATGAAAATAATTCAGAAATCACGATTATTTCGCAACGTTTATGCAACACCCTGTAGAACAAAAATATTACCTCATATTGAAAAATGAAGTTGTTATTGTGACAATCGCCGTGAGTGATGACTACATGTTCAACTTCATCCTTCAAAATATCTAAAATACTATTGTTTTCTAAAACCTCCTTGTATTTTTCAGCTAGATCCATTCTTGATACCTCATTTAGATGCTTGACCACATTCGACTTGGCATTTTTGAAAATCTCGGAAATTTGCTCGATCATTTGTATACTGTGCCGATAGTAACTGGAAGTCAATATATTGTACTCCTCAGCTTTCTGATCCCGGAAGGCAAAAGACAGGGCATGCAACTTGGCGTAGTTGCTCAATACTAATTCGATATGCTGAAGGTTCATTGGTATACCTTTATTATGAAGCTTGTAACCCTGTGTTCTTAAATTTTCCAGAACAATCACTTCAGACAAAAAAGTTCTGTAGCACTTTGGGACAGCATTGAAACGGTCGATAATTTTTCTCTCTTCTTGAAATTTTTCGAACGCTGGAAAAATTTTCTCGTATACATAAATTTCCCGCTGATAGCATTCCTCCATCAAGTTAGATAATTGTTCCCTTAGAATTTTGTTCTGTGTTGCTATCTTGATAGCCAAATCAACTTCTCTATTATTTCCTACTGTGTCTACACCAATGACTTTAGCAAAAACTATGTCACCTGAGTATCCCTCTGTTTTTCCAGTTGTACCTGTCAATACTATTTCCTGTTTCACAAAATGTTCATGCTCCACAGACTGCTCTATCCAACTGAGAATATCACTATTTTCATGCTTTTCCATCCCAGCACCTTTATTATGGAACAATATACCCAATACTATAATGGTTACATACACTTTCGAATGCCGTGTGCAATCATAAATCGTATTTTCAATAAACAATCAGATAAAAGTAGGTGACTAACTGTTATGAAACCTTGTCCTTGTATGCTTGTTAGATAATGCTAATATATGTTTGATTGCTTTGAAGTGTTAGTACAGTGACGTATCAAAAATTACCATTTTTCCTATCCTCCGAACAACGGTTCTATCACTTACATCCAAACTAATATACAGAGTGTTCCTATATGTCATGTGCAATTGTGCATATCGAAAAAGATGATTCCATGGCTTCAGGACTGAAAGTTTCTACAGGGTGTTTGGTTCATCGACGTATACCCGGAAGTGAAGACATTCCAAACATATTTGACCTATGTATATATTATTATACAAAGTGTTACGAATTTAGAGATATCAATTAATTCTCAAAACGTTACTGTTTGATATATGGAAGAAATTACTGATGCCCAATATCAGCCAAAGTACATCTTTTAGACATCTTATGACGTACATTTTATGTTTGAGACACATATTTTTTAGGTCATTTTGGTCGATGTTCCTGAATTTATCTTGCGAATCACATATTTTTTATTGATTTTCACCTGTATACTGAAATTGGCAACTAGTGCAGCCAAGCGAAAAAGAAAGAGATAAAAAATACTCAAGCGGTCACCCGCGCTCGTTGTTGCTTGCCTTCGGTGATCAGACCATATCCATTCTTTCTTCTGTTACTACCTTTATATATGTTTGTTCCACTCAATACATTACAAACTTTTACTCAGTTTCACATTTCCTGGTGTCTCTTTGTATAGTCCAGTGAAGTTAAACAGGGGGTTGCTTGCAGAAGGTCGAATCGTTCTGAATTTTGTTTATCTTGTTAGGACCTGAACCAGAAGCAAACAACCAGATTTGTATTTTCCAAAGTGATGTGCGAGCGGTAGTGAAACAAAAAAAAACATAGAATTCTCGGACTTTTTTCAGTTTTTGCTTAATATCTAAATGAAGGACGGATCTGACTGGTATATAGTCACTCTATATACTTTTGAAGTAGACTAGATTCAATACAGTTGAAGATCAGAGCTTCTTACAACCATTGGTTCACAAGATACAGCTTTTCGAAAATAGGTCATTTTATCCACAGAGTCAAATTTTTCAGAAATTTCCACTCATTTTGTTAACTTTTTCCCAAAATACGCTTCCTATGTGAAAAATAGTAGAGCATTTAATAAACTTTCGTTCTAGACTCGAATAGTATCTGTAGGCCCAGCGGTTCTCTCGAAACCTGCAGATAACCAAAATGTGATAAGTGAGTTTTGGGGGGAAACTCGAATAAACTGTTCTCACTTCTTTTTATTTTTCATTCATTTTTGTTATTGTTGAGGAATTGTTTGATGAAAAATATGAAATAGCTTTCGGGAATTACGTCATCATCAAAAATTGTTTCGTATACCTACATAGGTGATAGAATGCTTGTACATACATCATGGTGGTTCACTCCTGCTCAAGAGTATGGTGATTTTGGTATTTCCTGGGCCAAACGGTGCTGAGGTAGTATCGCACCTGGAAAACGCGTAGGTAAATAGTCTTGTCCCTGGTGATCGCCGGGAGTCCTGGTGGTTGTAGGAGGTCGTAGAGTAGTGACAGCAACCATCTTCTCTCTTTATGCTCTTGCCTCTTTAGCTCCCAAACTATTGAGAACGACGAGCAGTTCAACGTCTTCTCCCACTATAACGACCCGATCGGCTACTGTTCGTTCTGAATGTGCCGTGATGACGATCTCCTTCTGAAAGGCATCACATAGAAGGGTTATTAGGCGTCTCTTGTTGTTCTCATTGCGCGATACATGCTCTTGAACAATTTGAAATACTGTGCATCAATTTTGTTGTGTTTTTGTCTCGTATAAGCTTCGAAGTAGCCGTGAAAAATGATGGAGACGATCTTTCCAAAGTGGTTACGGACGTAAGTGATATAACGCGCAAAAAGTGCTCGAACTGTGCTCTTCCGCTGCCACACAACCTTGTGCAAGAGGTAGCCACTATCCAAAAGGGACGTGAGGCTTGAGAAAGGAGTAAGACAGAGTGGATTTCGTGCCGTTGCACATCCCCTGCTCATCAAAAACAGACATCGGGAATGGGGCCAACTCATACTTGAAGTCATTCTGTATATTCTGTTCAGATTGCTTTGCAATATACACACTCGCTGGAAACTTGTGAGCAGATCCACAACTATTCTTCTGTGTTTGTCTGGCAATTCTGTAACCTACTTTTCCACTTCATAATAAATCTACCAAACTGTCAATTTGAAAAAAAAAGATAACATTTGCGGACGGCAGTTTTTCATGAGAGAACAGATAAGTGAGTTCGAGGTAGAACTAGATGCATACAAATTCAAGTTTTTGAGGGGCGCCACTCAATTTGAAGAAAAGATTTCAGTTTGGATAATTGAGAAAACCAAATGCTCCATATAATAGTCAAATTCTGAAAATGAAGATGTATTATTTTCTTAGATTGTGGATGGCAGACAATTAGATAAATAAAATGCAGAATTTCTTCAAAACCTATTTATTCCCTGCGAAAACAGACAAGGCACATTTGGACCTGTGAGGAGGCTAATGGAATATTTGTGACTTCAAGTGTGATGGAAGTTGAGTATCATAAACAAATCAAGTTGGAATAAGTATCAGGACACGTTGTTCATAATCTAAATAGTGAAAAACAGATGTAGACTAGTATCTACTGTTTGTAGGTAAATCGAGGAGGTGACATTCATTCTACTTGATTTTTTGGGATTTTCTCTCCTCGTTTCTATAAAATAAAAATATGCGTATCATTTCATTTTTTTTCTATTTTTTTTTTATTTACTTTACTCCGTTTACAGAATGAATCCAATTACAAACTGAGATTTATATGACACTACGAAAGTAGCATGCATAGTGTTATATGAGTATGGAAGTTTACTACTGCCGGATACAAAAGGAGAACGATCTAATTTGCTGAATCGATGTAGGATGTTTGTCGATTTCTGTACAGTGGTCATTATAATTCCTACAGATCCTTTGTAATGGAGAATTTTCACAAACATTTGTGCGTGGGATAGGCAAGTGAAAGGTTTGATCTGTTCGGGTCGCAATTCTTGGAACGTGAAACTGGAGTTAATATGTCAAATAATGGTAGTCGCATAGGTTATTAATTGTTTTGAGAAGAATAACATCAGAATGATACTCTCTTCGAGTTTTCAGACTGTTGAATGAATGTCTCTCAAGTAAAGTTCTCTGTGAAATGCCAATTTCAGGATATATTCGCCATCTATTCTGAAAGACAGTGATTTTAAAAAACGCCGCTGAATTGATTCGAATATATTTGTAGTGGGACAAATCAGATGATTCGCCACAAAATATCACTGCGTTCAACAATTTTTTTATCAGGAAGCCTAAAAGAAAAATTCAGTAGCTTGTCAGTGACAGTTTGTTTGAAAAAATGTTTGAAGGAAAGGATAATCGATATATTGCATAAATATCGAATTTTTACTTATCTTTGGACGTTTCGTGACCGAATCTGCTTTCGTTCTCAACATGAGAATGCAAAATATTTCTCTTTGTTAAACGCAGCATCTGATTTGTCCCATAACAAATATATTGAAATAATACGCATTTTTATATTATAGAAACTAGGAGAAAAATTCCCGAAAAATCAGGTAAAATAAATGGGGAATAATCCGAAGAAACCAAAGGAGTCAAGCGCAAAACCTACAGCTGTCGCATAGCGCTATGAGAGGGCCTTTTACGTTCGAGGTAATGAATGATTGATAATTGAATAAATTCCCTAACAAAAACCAGATATAACAGCCTCTTCAGAGATCAAGATCACCCCGATCACAGTCCATTTTCCCAGGATGGGCGGCATGGGTAACTGCCAACAGCACCAACATAAAGGGGGGCTCCTCCACAAATCTTCTGGGCTCTACTCCGCGGTCTCTCTCTCCCTGGTATTTCTCCTGGCGCTACCACGGAGTTGAGCGCGGCAGATTGGCTTCTGGCTCACTCTGGTCGAACCTCAAGGTCTCCGCAGTCTCCTCTAGTCCAGATCCGAGCCGTCGATAGTGTCAAAGTACCAGGGTATTCTGACCAGTGGAAAGTGGGGTCCTCGATGGACGCAACGACAGCACAAAGAAAAAATGCTACAGCTCTAGCATTATCCTACAACCCTGTTTTAGAAACAAGTTCATTCAACCTCAGGTCACAGCACGTGGAATATAGAAAAACCTTCCAGAAATAGATGTGTTTTCATTTAAAAAACCAACTGACTATTTACTCACCTTTTCAGGAGAGCTAAACCGGCGTCATCGAAGTAGCAAACACGAGGTAGGACTCCAGGTGACAATAGGGCTGGTCCCGCGTGGCGACTTCAAATTGGCTCAAAGCAATGACGTTGAAGAAAGGTGAATAGCTCATAAGACTAACTCGAACAAATCCTTTATGAGGGCTATCGATATACATCGATTTCCAGTCTTCTTGATGAACCAGAAAAATCTTCAAGTGCCTCTCATCATGGCCAGTGGGCAAAAGCCACGAGACCGGAAATCACCCCCAAAACCTCAATTTTTCCCCAAATTTGTCAAAAAAAATTCCCGAATCCATCTTGCCAACACAAGATGTAGAAGGTCACACTCAGGAAGAATTCTGTTCGACCGGGGTTTAACCAGTGGTTGTTTGGACAACCATGTTCCGATTGCTGCACTTCTTCACCAGCAGCCATACGAGTCTCGCTAGCAGCAGTGACATCGCTGACAAGACTGGTGACTCAGGAAGTATGTCAATCTGACAGTGACGTTCTGGACGAAAATATAACCTGTTAAACGAACCTATCTTAAATTACAAAAATCAAAAAAAAAAACAACAAACAGATTCTTCAAAAGGGACACGTTCTAGTAGAACAGTCAGCCTAATGATTTCTGAAGTAGCCAAGCACATCCATTCATCATAGTCGAAAAACACCAAATGTAAGTCATATTTTTTTGTCTTATAAACTATATGAAAACTGATTAACGTTCAAATTTGAGACCAGAAAAGCTTCCTTAAATCATTGGCATTGAC